AATTTTTCCCTAAAAAAAAAAAAAAATTCCTCAGCCAATTTTTTTGGAAAAGTTCCATGTAAGACAGGCGATAGTCTTTTGATAAACATTTCATGCCACAAGAATATGAACAGACTACTCATTAACTAAGAATGTTTGATACGTAGTATTAGATACGACTAGACAGAGTATTTAAAAAAAAGAGAGAGAGATTAAATTTTATCTATGGTAATCTTCTGTTTAGTCCTTTAAAATACTGTATTCTACCAAGCATGATCACAAGGTTCACCCCATCACTATTCAACAGCTACTGCTGCTGATTATAAGTAAAAAAAAAAAAATCAAATAACTACGAAGACAGCGAATATCTACAAACCAATCTATCAACTTTCGTAAGCCAAATTAACAACAGAATACAATGTGAATACTTGTCCAAAAGTGTCAGGAATGTACAGGTATAGATGAATTCATGGATACACAGCCTTTTAAGCGTTCGAGAATGGCATTTCGGCTTACTAACTCTGAGTGAAGAGTAAGTGGGACTTTGGGAGACCTCTGTCACACACTCGTCGTACGTTTCCAGAGCAGATACAATGTCACTGAAATCTGGACGCTTAGAGTGGTTTGCTACCCAACAGCGCTTCATAAGGTGTACGAGTGCAGGTTGACAATTTGCTGCCAATGGCGGTCGCTCATTCTGAAAAATGGTTATAGAAAGAGGAAAGTAACTCAATGAGTCAGATATAAATTAATCATTTCGTCTAAAATCTTAAACTGAAGTCCTAAATCTAACCTTTTCGACCACAGCAAAAGCAGCTTGCACAGGAGTCATTCCTAGAAAAGGAAGCAAAGCTGTGGTCAGCTCCCATTGCACAATTCCAAAACTATAAACGTCAACTTTCCGAGTATAAGGTTTCTCCTCGATCATCTCTGGTGCCATCCACCGGTAAGTCCCCATATTCCCTTGGCTTCCTGGCATTGTGTTTCGAGACAAGACGTGCCAAAATCAACAACCTTAACCCTCATCTCATCATTTAATAGCAAGTTGTTCGATTTGAGGTCTGTGTATCACTCCTTGTGCATGAAGATACTCCATTCCTTGTGATATATCGAGGGCTAACCTAAGATGCACAGAAATAAACAGCACAGAAAGAATAGGTAACTTTAAGATGGTATGATCTGCAAATTGTATAATTTTAATTATTCAGAAAGACTAAAGTAAATCTAACCTACACTATATTAGGATGATAAAGACACGAAAGATGGGCGACTTCCTACTTGAATAGTGGTCAAGCAAAGTTCTAGTTTCCTCCTCATGAGTTGGAATTCTCACTATTGATACAGCAACTGCTCTCTGCTTATAAATTCCTCTGTAAATTCTGTTAAAGGATAAAATCTCACATCGAATAAAGATGAAAACATAAACCAATTTATAAGAATTTGGACAACTCCTCTTAATAGAGTTGACCTTTTAAGATTGAATCTCAAAGTTTAACATGGAATTAGAGCCTGTTAAGCTCTAAGAGCAATTCGATCCGATTAAGACTCAAAAAATTGAGTACGTGGATTTCAAGATTGGTATGCTCATACGAG